TAATCATCAAAACCAACCATATAATAACTGATGGTCACTCGATGCGAATTATTGTGGGTACTATTCAGCGGTTGCTGAACAATGAGGAAGTAAAGTTAGACCTTGGACTGCGGCTCCACTCCTGGCAACTTACACAATTTGAAAAACAAAAAGAGGAGAATATGACGTTTTGGCAAGCGAAATTGCAGAATTTCGTCTACAATCAACTTCCAACATCTCGTCCACGACAAATCGTTGCTACTGATGCAACAGCGGAATTATTTGAATTCCAGGCTCCCAGACTTTGGGATACAATAAACTTGTGGGTTCGCTCTTACAACTGCACCCCATTCGTTGCCCTTTTGATGCTCTTTTCGCGAGTATTTCAATCTCTCAGCTATGACCCTTTAACTCCATTCCCAATTGGCTTCCCAGTCAATCTGAGACCACAAGAACTGTACAACTCAGTTGGTTACGGTATTAGTACGGTCATGGTCGCTCAGGACACACGAGGAAAACTTTCAGAAGGTATCAAAAACGCTATGGTACAGGTTGCGGAAGCTATGGCGCATGCGTTCCTGCCCTACGATGAGATACTTGAACTTTCCACATCGGGGAAGCTTTTCGCGGTAATGCTCATGCTGGATAACTATTCTGTTTACGAAAGTGAAATTTTCACAGTTGAACCGGAAGAGGCTGAGGTGACAAAATTTGAGATTTCTGTCTATGCGGCACAAGATGACGACAAAATTAGGATAGAATACAATAAAAGCTTATTTGACAAAGATTTCATCCACAAATGTGCCAGAATTATCAGTGTTCTCTTGGAAAATTGGTCTCGTGAATTTTCCACTACGGTATGCACGGCTTTCACACATAAGAGTTGCATCTACGATGCTAATGATGTTAGGAAAATGCTAGAACCTTTAAAGCTATCAGACGCTAATATCACAACCTCCGCTGACAATCAACTTCAGCTGACCTGTAGTAGTGACACAGTGAGCGCAGAAGAGATAGAAAAAACCCTTAAACATCTGCCACTGCCATTAAGGCCAAAGAAGATCATCGTTGAACCTACACGTTCATTCTGCTACCCGCTTAGTAAACAACAACTACAGATGTACTATCTATCACTACAGGACCCAGTGGCTTACGTATTACCATTTTGCAAAAAATTTCCGAAGAGGACGTCTCCGAAGAATCTCCACGGGGCTCTTCTAAATGCAGTTCAAAGACATGAAATGCTTAGAACTATATTCTTTGAAATTGAAGGAGAGCCTAATCAAATGGTTACTTCCATGACAGAATGCTATATTTCCTTGTCCATAGAACTGAGCGAAAATATTGGGGAAAGCATTGCTCAAATCGTAAATTTACCAATGCAGCTTCAGGATAGACCTTTATTGGAAGCTGTTATGTACAAAACTGAGGATAGTTTCGTGGCAGTGCTTCGACTGCAGCACATTATCTCGGACGGTTGGTCGACTTCAATTCTAGAAGAAGAACTTGAGAAGGACCTTACTATTTTGGAAGCAGGAGGTGTCCCAAGGACCCATCGGCAAAGTTACACCTATCTAGATTATTGCAAGGAGGGAAGTGCAAGGACTCAAATAGATGAAATATATCTTAGAAAATTAGCCGCAGCCCAAGAAATAGAAATTGTACCTTCAGAAAGCAAAA